CCCCAGCATAGCTGACAGCTGGTGTTTGGACCAAGTTTTGGAGTAAGAGAGCATGAGTTTCAACTCCCTGCTGCAGGACCTCGCATGGAAACATGAGCTTCAGTCTGACAGCCCAGCCGAACAGCAGACTTGTTATGGGAGGCACATGGGAGGAAGGCAAGTCTCCAAGGTTTTAAAAAAAAAAATTCTGTTTCAATTTTGGAACTCTTTCTTGTAAGAGCTTCTAATGAAACTACTCTTTTGCCCAAGTTGAAACACTTCGAGGGAAGTGTCAAATTATTTCCTTGTCTCTACTCAACCCGTGATATTTTCCCAGTATGTGGGTGGAAGGAAAAAAAAAAAAAAACTTACTCAAAGTGCTTACCTTCCTCCTCCCTCCTGAAACTGATTCAAGACAGATCTTGAGGATCTGGTATCCTGGTTAGCTACTCTATGCTCGAATGCTTCTACAACAGAATTCATCCACGTACTACTGAATCCTCACTGTGTCTATACAGCCTGTGCTTTTGGGGACAGGATGCTCTAGGTTTCTCTCTCATTCAGAAATGGGAACTGAAAAAAGCTGAACCCCCCAACCTAGAGGAAAATTGCAATAAGGTACTTCAAAATTAAAACAAAACAAAACAAAACGATGAGCAGTGATTCTTCACCTGTGCTCTCAACCCAGAGCAAAGCCTGGAGTCCCAGCTGAGAACCCCACCTACCTCAGCTCAAACCATGTCAGAACCTCCATGTTGATAAAGAAACCAGGGCTAAAATCCAGGTTAATCTAGCTAAGAACCCAGGTTAACTGTGAAGTTCGGGCATATCTGGTGCAGTAAATAATCTGTGGCCGAGCTAGTTTTCATATCTTGTTGCTTGCTACTTGAAACAATTAACATTTGAGCCCTTTACAGTCATTACTATTTTAATTATTACAGATTTAGTGCAGTAGGCAAAGAAATTCAGATTCATTTTCTAATGAGTGTTTGTTTCCTCTACACGGACCTACAGAATCGCCCAGCTTCTGTCATTCAAAAATCACATTTAAATAAAATCATGACTATTCTGATTTAGAGCCAATCAGGTTGCGTTTCAGATTTCTTTCTGAAGCTACAAGGACTAGAAAAAATTTTTTCCCAAATGAAAATCAGAGTTCTCACATAATCCTACCGTTGCAGAATGCTGAAGGCTTGCCACAGACATAAGTTGGAGATGTTAACACTGCAAAATGGTACCAATAGTCTAACATAGTACAATAGATAATATATATCGTTACAGAGTAAATCAGTTTCTTCAACAAATATTATGAAGAGTAATTCCACCATTAGAATGGCCCAGTATAATGCTAATAATAGCTTTCTGTATTTAACATTATACGTGTCTTTTATATATACACAGTGATTTAGCAGTAAGAGGAATAAAACATTTGCCCTGTTAAACCACAGTGCCAAGATTAGTTTTAAAGCAGGACAGGTTATGCCATTGGTGCCAGATCAACTGTCTGCATGAGATGAAGTGACAAGAGTTCACCGTGGCATACGGCCGATCTTCTGCCAAAAAGAAGCTTGCTTTAACCACTGCCGTGTTTAACAAAGACAGGTGCTTCGCAGTGACTAATATTTGCCAGATTTGGTCAACTAAGGAAGCCAGATTAAAAAAACCCAAGTTTTGCTATCACTGTTTTTACCCATGCTACACAATAAGCCCACAGCTACCAAGGACTTCCGGTAGCATTTACACTAATGTTTTTAAATCATATTTTGAGAATCAAAGACTGCAATTATTTTACACAGGTTGCTTTTATTGTTTTTTCTTCACAGTGATACATTACGTGTGGGTCACTGCATTTCACAGAAAAAATATTACAGACAAAAATACCCCTGTTGGTTTAAAAAAAAAAACAAAAAAACAAAATCAATGTATGCACTTCTTGCTAACTCAAAACTCTGCAAAAAGTGTTTTACCCCTTTAGAGACCAGATCAGAAGGTCGTTTGTATAAACAAAAATCATTTCTAGATTTAGAAATAATTATAGCACGGTATCTAGCTATAATTGCATTCACACTCTAAGTTTTAATGTCTGAATATTTGAAAAGACTCTGACACAGTGAGCACTGCAAGGGTAGCAGGGAAGCTGAAATGAAGACAGACAAAATTATTTATTTATAAAAATGGGTTTTATTTCTTCAGTACAAGGTAAACTACTATTGCAGTTTAAGACCAACAAAAAAGTTGGACAGCAAATTGCTTAACAGTCTCTCCTAAAGGCTGAAAAAAAGAAAACCATGAAAACTAAAAGTTAATGCAATATTTCAAGTATAACATCAAGAAAAAAAATGCACCTGTCCCTAAACTTATAGACTAAGTACCCCCACTGAAAATGCATTAAAATGCACATTTGCTAGCATACCATCTTACCTTGTTGAGAAACATGGGTCTCCAGAGACTCAAGAATTCAACAGACTCTTTGGCCTGCTGGTATCAGAAAACTGCTTACTATATATAAAATCTTTTGGAGTCAGGAATTCTGACAAACATCCATTTCTTTATGTTTTGCATCGCAATTCTGCATTCCAACTTAGACCAGCCCCAATGCCGTATTTCAAAAACCATTTCTTGAATAGTTCACTCACACATCTTTGCCCAAAATGGGAACTAGGAAATGAAATGGTGTCGGAAGACAACACAGCCTTTACATTTAAAAAGTCAGCAGCACTAGTATCTTCATAAAAATGTTAGGTTTACGAAATAGGAATGTATTTCGCTTTTAAAACACCTGATTTGTTTGTTTGTTTGTTTGCTTGTTTTTTTAAAAAGGACACCTGCACTAGTAAGGAAAGTGAATTTGCAATCACTTGTATTTATAAAAGCACATTCCTCAGTTTCTTATTTTTGAAGATCAAGTGAACGTCTGTTTCATAATGTAACGATCATATGCACAGTTTAAAATATTTTCTATTACAAAATACAGTATACAAGAGGGTCAGGCCACCAAGGTCTATTAATTGAATATATTCAAAAATGTTAGTGCTGAATCATGTAAAATCACATTTATTACACGGTATGATTGGATGGGAATTTTTACAACTGAAATGCTCCGTTTCATTGGGATCAAACATATACAGTTTACTATTTTCAAGATACTTCAATACAACTAGTGTATTTCAAAAGAAGCTTTAAAACATTTAAGCAGAGACACAGGTCACACCAGACCCTAATATCCACTAGGATAACTGGGGCGTTAGAAAGGATCGAAGTACTAACAAGTGCATAATACTCAAACAGAAGGAGATGCTTTATCAGATTTTGCCCAACATGGAAAAAATCCCACGAGAATATCAAATTAAAGAACTTCTTATGCTCCAAATTACTTTTTAATCATTCATTCTCTAAGGCTAAAATTAATCTGAAAATACTCAGCATGTCAGATCATCTTAATTAAAAAAAAAAAGGCAAACAAAACAAAACCATACACCCCAAACCCAAGCCTATCTGCAATATTAATTGCAAGGCAATATAGTGTGAAGTTGCAGAATTTCTGCAAAAACATCATGACTAACTAGCATGCTGCGACCATTTTGTTTAAGATCTATGCAATCAATTACCAAAATAATTTAAATCTTAAAAAAAAAGAAAAAGAAAAATCCATGTTACTTCTCAAAGTCAAAATGCTTGCTTCGAAAAGAATTCAATCTGCTTTAAGAATATGCACACTGATCTGCACTTTCCTTCTATGCGATATGGCGAGGTTCATATGTCAATGTAGAAGAATTTAGTGTCTTGGATCTCTGAAGTGTATCAGTCAAACATGCATGTCTTATATTTGAATCTACATGACAAACAGTATCTTAACAAGCATTAAGCTAAGAAATTTAAGGCTGTATCTCAGTCTACACAGGAGCCAATGGTAACTTTAAGAGGCTACATTAAAAAAAAATCTATAAATAAAATTAGGAAAAAGTCTGTTCAACCTGTACAAAAAGCAAATGCATTAGAAAAGGAAATCAGGAATTAAGTATTTCTATAAAGAATGTCATGTATTTTTTCTAGGAATACATATGACAAGTATATACAATATTTAAATTTGCAATTATCCACGTACAACTAGGGAAAACATTTACAAGGATTTGGGTATGCAACTAAACAATCAGATAAAAAAATAGAAAAACTAAGCCTCTCCAGTTTAAAAGAAACAAAAACAGAGAACATCCATTCTTAAAACAAAACAAAACAAAACAAAAAAACCTAACACCTAAATTTAATAAGGTATCTTGCTAACATAGAGAATGTAACAGCTATCCAAACTCTTAGGTCACATTGTAAATAAATTTAAAGAAGTTCTAACACACATATTTTTATAATGCAATTAGAACTTAAATTATTGGCACAGAAAGCAGAAGGGAAAGGGGGTCGGGGAAGAATGCACATCTTCCAAGTTTTTTTTGTTCTTCTGTTGAAGTGTTTTTGATCTGTCAAAATATTTATTCCAGAAGAAACTTTACTTCTTTTTTTTAAAAACAATACTTTTATTCTTTTTTAAAGCAACCCTTTTTCTTTAAAAAAAACAAAAAACATTATGGTGAAACAACTTTTTCTTGCTCTAACACCCCTCCCCCCCAATCACTACCTCTTGGTTTCATCTTTCAAAAAAAGATAAAGGACACAGCCTTATAATACTACTTTCAACATTACTTGTAAAGGCAAAACAAAAAAAAAAATCAATATTTAAAAGGAAAATCAAGTGTTTCCTCATAGACTGTTTCGTCCTTTCATCAGCAGGAGGAGATGAAATACAAGTGGATACAAAAGAACACAGCAGAAGCCATCAAGGCATCCTCACCAGTCAGTAAATTAACAAACTGCTATTTCCTGCCAGTGCACAGGAAATTGTCAGTCACGTTTAATAAATCAAAACCTGGTAAAAATTCTATTACAGATCCAGTTACACATGTGTATTAGACATATTCCTTTTTGGTGTCTTTCAGAAGCTTTGGATTATTTCTGTACATATTTTTTTGTTTCTTTAAAAAAAATTCTAACAAATGAAAATCACAATAAGGAGAGAAGTATTTAAATCATCAGACAGACTATCAGTTCAAACTAAATCTTCGGAGAACAGGCAGAAATAAGGGGCTTCATCCTGGGACCTCACCTCTCAAGCCACAACGATCGCTCAGTTTAACTTATGTTGTGTTCTCCCTGCTATTTCCATTGCCAGCAATGGAAATCTGTACATGAATGAGAAATTACACCCTCTGTAGAAGAGCAACAGTCTCCTTAAATCTATTTCAAAGTGGAGTAAAATATCAGTTCCTGCATAAAATGCTTCTAAATTTATTTTTTCATTTAAAGATTTGTCTATGCAGTGGAGTAATACTTACCTGCTGCCCCTTCAGTATTAGCTATTCCCCATGTAACAGCTATAGGCAGGTTTTTTCTTCCCTTAAACTTATTACACGCAGCAGTGAACAATGTTTTTGAGTAAAAAAAAAAAAAATTACAGCAATACTGTTTGTAACCAATACCTATTCACAAAAAGCAGGAAATCAGTCATGACTTCTTTGATACAACTTTCAGTTTACAAAATTTTAAAAGGCAGTTTTCATTTTTTTAAACAGGATTAAACAAACATTTCAAATATTTTCTCAGTAGCAAATAGTTCAATAAACACCAGCGATCCCATGCATGAGAACTCGAGGTACACAATTTAAGAAAGAAAAAGGAGGGGGGGGGAGGTCTGAAGCTTGTAGCCAAGTCCAACAGTATCAGCCTGTCGGTAGGAAATCTGGCTGAACGGTAGGTGACAAAAATATTAGAGCATTTCAGACCTAAGCAGAACTCACACAGGCTACTGGTCCCAACTCAGTAAAGCATAAAATCATTTGCTTATGCAAGTAAAATATTTAAAGCATATGTTTACTTTCCTAAAACTCTACGGCATTTAAGCATATGCTCTAAACGCTTTGGAAAACCAAATGGACTTAAGTGCTTTTCTGAATGGGGCAACATATTTTAGGTCAATTGTCAAATCTTCGAAGTCAGTAAGAAAAGAAATCAAGAGCTAAGAGTTGCTTCTTAAAGCCATCTGAGGTCTTGAAACTTAACTCAAAACATTGAGCATGGCTATTTGGATAAGTGGAAACTCTGAGAGTACATCTGTTACATAATGGTTTACAACAGGCTTTAGGAGCGAGCCTTCGTGCAAGGCTGCCAGGAACGGGCAAAACTCGCCAGCTCCGCCAATGTTCTAGTCGCGTGTATTTCACACTTAATGGAAGGTAAAATAAATTCTTATAATTGGAACTTAACTTTCACTCTAAGCTCCAACGACTTGTTTTTAAGGTAAATTTACAAAACCTCATTTGACAGATTTACTTAGCGCCACTTTTTGCTAAGACATTTAAATATTGCCCATCACTGAGCAAGGACATACAAGTGTACCTTCTCTCTTATATGCATGTGTGAATAAACCCCAAAGTGTTACGAAAATACCAAACCCGTTACTCTGGAAAAAATGGAAACAACTGGTTTCTTCTGTCACATTTCTAATATACAACTATGTACAGACTGTCTATGGCCTGGGGGGAGGGGAGAAGGGGGGGAAAACAAACAAAACCTCCCCCACACAAGCACTATTACTATAAAACTGTAAATAACTGCAGTTTGTTTTTTTTTTTAAGCTAACTTTCCCACCCCTCAATATAAACAGTTTCAGTTAATATAAACTGTAGTGGCGAGCAAGATCAAGTTGTACAAGAGATACAACTTTCAGTTTGTTAAAATCACGAACCTGGGACCACCTCTCTTCGAAACAGACAATTTACACAGAAGCACTGCAGTTTTTACAGTTTTATATGTCATTTAGCAAATTCACAAGCCACCTAGGTAAAAACGGCTAGAAAGCAAAATAGCATTAAAGACTTTACGTAACCACCTACTCTCGTATCAAAATCGAATGTGTGAGAGCAACATTAGTATGTTTAACTCACTGAATGCAAGATTAGATTGAGGCATATGCAAGAACTATTGCAATGTTTTTAAAAGACAGCATCAATGTTTTCATTGTAACATTATCTTTAAATATTGCTAAACACAAGACTTTCCCTGAGGTGTAAACATCAAATAACTTGAACAGCTTTACACATCAGCCCCATTAAACAGTTTATTACAACACTACATCTACTGTAATCAAAGTGGTGCTGTGTACAGACATTATCATATGAACATTTTAACAAGAACAAACTACTATAAAAACAAGCGTTTACTTGACTTTTTCCAATTGCTTGCACATTATAATTGCCAAACGTATATAACCAGTAATAAAGTTGCAAAAGCTATAAGGTTTAAATCACACAGGTTTCCCTCAAATAAAACAGTTAAGCAACATAAAAAAGTAAAAGAGCTACTGGTTACCATGTATGCAGATTTGCTTTATTCAGATCTATTCCTGTTCATTTTATCCATGAATCCTTACAGGCTCAGTTCAATCACATGAAGCAAACTGCTGGACAAGCATCTTTCCTTGAAGAACGTTTCTTGTCTTGCACGCCGTTCCTCTTCCTTCAGCTGTAATGTGTCAAAATTTGTGATGTAGATTTTGCTAGTCCCCATAATACACAGAAAAACGTTGGCTTATCTATACATACACAAGTCGTGCATCTACTTCACCATAATGTAATCTAACACAAAATACCTGGAAGCAGTAGCTACTTGTTTGTGCAAGAAATCGTTTTCTAATACAATTGTTAAAAATAAAATTAATGTTGTTGTACAACAAAGTACAAGAAAGAATATAAAATTAACAATTGAAGAATTGAACTATAAAGGAAGAAATAGCTACTGTTTCTGTGATTGATGGAAACATTTATATAGGAGACATTTCCTAAAGTATGCATTCTGCCAGAGTAAACAAGAAAACATGGAAGATAATTTTGCCACAACTAGCTTTCTCCTTTACATGTTTGTCTGCCCACTTACAGCAGTTTTAAACTGATTAAATTGACATTTAAATAATGCACTGATTATAATATGAAGTGGATGGCTTACAGCTCAGTAACATTTGAAAGCGCACAGAATCTGATACCAATACTTGAAGATTTTCAGACTTGTGGCAAGCAGTATGGGCTTCACATCTAAAAACACACTCTCAGATTTTAATCACAAGAACCTAGTTTTCAAATAATACAATATAGATTTGCAGGTCTTCTCACCTACTTTCCCTAGAAAAATCCCCAAACCCTACTTCCTACTCTCAGCTATTTTAGCAAATTATGAACCACACCATTCATTCAAAGATAGTTACCGCAAGAGTTGACAAAATACTTGGGATGGTATAATTCCATACACTGGATTTCAGTTGAATTCCATTACAAAACATAATTCGCTAGCTTCATTTCATTAGTAATTCACAATTTCAACATTCAATAATCTCAGAATAATTTAAATCAAATCGTTTAAAAAGCCAATACATTAAACTGTTCATTTGAAAAACAGACATTTAGAGGAGCAATTTCATGAACATACACCAGTACACAGCTGTCAAAGATCCTTTTACTATTATGATGAGTCACAAGAGTTTGGAAACAAGGTAGTCAATTTTTGTACGAACAAATGACACTTTCTTCTTCCTTTCCTCAAAATGACCATTGTTAATGACATTAAAAAGGTATAGCCAAGAAGCTTAGCCTCTATATACTACAGCGTGCACATAAATTAATCCCAATTTGAGGCAGTGACTGGAATTTTTCTCGTTCACAGACTTCCCTCTCAAGTGATGAATGCGTTGACCAGTAACTGCTCCTGGGGAAATCCCTTGCCCAGAGACCAAAATCGCCAAAGGTGCTTTTTCTCAGTAGCAAAGTGACAAAGTGCTGCCCTCGCAAAAGGGCACAGTCAGAGTTGCGAGCTAAGTTAGCGCAAACAGACAGGGGACATCCTCAGTTTTTCTGTGGGGCGCATAAGTATATGACAGCTGTGAGACCGTATATCCGAATTTGCTGCTCTCGTGATACAATTGCTGTGGCAAGAACTGCGGATCTTTCTGATTTCTATGGCGACAGTTAACAGATCCAGAGCACCGCATATATGATTTATAATAGCAGCGTAAGAAAGTTGCAGTTCCTGGGACTGATTCGCTAGATTTGGAAGGTTAATTATGGAACTACAGGAACGTTAAAGAACGCATGATAAACTGCACTTAGCATCAATGCTTTTCAGTATAGGGATTTTAAGGTGGTCAGCACCACACTGAACTTTCACTTTATAAAAGTGTTACCCGCTAAAACCCCCAAAGTGGTATAAATTTTGGTTCCAAGCATTCTGCCACTATAATTTGGCAAAACTGGAAAACTAATGGTTTAATTAGAAAGTAGAAAACTAATGTAGTTCCAAAAGGAAGAAATAAAACCGTATGGATTATACCTTCATATTCAGCACTTTTCAGTATTCTACAAGGAAGTAGAATATTGAAGTAAGAAATAACTTAAAAAAAAGGGGGGGGGGAGAAAAATAACATTAAAACTCTAGTCAATGCTTCTTGGCAATGCTGCTTTCTGCCTGTCTCAAGTTCATTTGAGCCATCTGTCCCAAGCATGTGTTAGATTTGTACAGTTTAATAACGCACAGCAAACAGTTTATCAGCATTTCTAATAAAATCCAAATTTCAGACTTATCTGTTAAATATTTCTTTTGTGGTTTAAAATGGAGTATTTTATGCCAGCACATGTCATAAAGGAAATCCCAGAACTTTAACTTAAGTGAGCAAAAATTTTTATATTTATGCAAGATGCAACTTGAGCACTGGTTTTCACACTCGGAGACAGACTCTTAGAACAAAAACTCCACAGTTAGATATATTTTTTAAAGCATCTTGCAGTAGCAACTCTTAATCTCTTTCCTTTAATTCTGATCATCCAAATATGCATACAAAAGCCTTGAACACCTTTTAAAGTCTGAAAATCCTACAATAATTTAAAGCTGTATGTGCATATGCCCTTTAAGTTTAGGTAAGATAGTATAATAATTTATCTGATATTTTCCGGAATTGAATTCCAGTCTCCTACCATGTTCACGCTTGAGCAAGATGAATGACATACATTTGGCATTACATCCTAATTGCTCCTAAAAATGACTTCCGTAATTCACTTTATTCTATAAATAAAAAAAAAGTTTACACAAAGCAAAAATGCCACCCCCCTGCACCCCACCCCAAACCCTACACATCTTCATGCCCAAAATTTCTTTTAACTTAACCTAATTTCCAGAAAGTCTCAGACCTCCAAGTAACGTGATGGCTTAGCTACAGCACAGTGAGGAGCAAGCAGTTTCAAGCTTGACTCTGTATTTGTCTCTCTACATGTAAGTTAGGATACACAATCGGTTTCTGTTCATTTACAAACCAACTATTCTTTTACCACTAGCACTTTCCATTTGTTGCCTTTTTTCTATTACTACCGTACTTACCTGATATCTTTGCTCAATCTTATAGCGTATAATTTAGAACACAACAATTTCCTACACCACAAAAAAATTTGTGCACGGAGGGAAAAAAAAGTATATTCCCAAACTACAGTTTCATTCATAATATGTCTTCTCCTATTATCCCAGCTTGTCTATTCACCGAAAGGAACTGATGAACACACAGGTGCGTTCAGAAAAAAAAAAGCCCTAGATTTTAGTTTACAAATTAAAAAGCTGTGAGGTAGGTAAGTATCTTTAACATTAATATATGAGGAAGACACAAAAAGGTAGATCAGGCTGCCACAGGAAAACATAAAATGAAGAGCTCTCATTTCTCTCTCTCTTTTTTTTTTTCTTTTTAAATAAGAAATCTTAGTTCTCAAACCACAATGAGCAAAAGGAAAAAACCAACACTAACTGAACTTGTTCATTCCTTGGAGAACACTATCAATCCAACATGTACGCATGCTAGTAACTTCTTTACGTTTCAAATGTTAAAAAGCCTTGAAGACAACTTTCTCAGGGAACTTTCACACAGCTCAAATTCGTCAGAATTACTGACTTCACAAATAAAAGGAAAAAAGGCACAGGATGTGGGGAATATAAAAATACAAATGTGTCTTAAAGCACCTCAGAAGACAACAAAGTTACAGCAACAGGTTCATGGAAAAAAGTAATAAGTTACGTAGTTATACATTTCAAAATAAATAGCGCAAGATCTTTTGGTTCATTTGTTTTTGAAATCATCCTATTGCCCCTCAAAAAAAATGAGAGAAGTCACTAAACATTTTTAAGAAGCAAACAGCATGCTTCTATAAAGCACCAAAGTAGCCATAAAATAGACTTTAAGAAGCCCATAAAACAGTGGCATTACTTGTCTTTTCACTCTTGTAGAGTGGGTTGCAAATACTGAACCAGACGCACAGAGCACTTCTCTTCCGACGAGTGCCAGGTGTAACAAAAAAGTGCCAAACAGTTTGATAAGAGTTTCTGGAAAAATAATTATAATGCTGCATTTCTGTAGAAGTGGTCATTTTATTCAGCCCCACTGAAATGCTTCTTTAAAAACATACATTTAAAAACCGAAAGTTAGGTTAATAATATTCATAATAGCTTAACACTAACAAGATCCGAAATAGTCCCAGGCAGCTACATACTCCTCATTCTTGAGCGATGCTACTATGATTCACCTAAAATTCAGCTATCAACTAGAAGCTTATTATTAAAACTGTTACAAAATAGACATTTTCCTATTAATTTGCAAGGTTTTTTAAAAGGATAATTTATTTCATACTTTGCTTACTAGTTACGTGGTTGCTAAGACACTGTTACAGGCCAGTTCCTATTTATACAGACGAAAATATAATGAATGTTATTAATACTATTAAGTACCATTTCCCCTCCTGACACTAAAAAAATGCCATTGTGTTCATTCTTAAACACCTCCAAAGCTCAGAACTATTTCAGGGATAGATGAGAACACAATTTGAAGAAAAATACGAGCCTCAGAAGTACATTCGATTTTACATGATTTTGCTTACAGTGGTTTGAGAGCAGAAAAAAATCAGAGAAAAGCCATGAAATACGGAATACAAAGTCTACATACATATCAGCTGTTACAATGTTAGTGTAGTTTTTCTTTGCAATTCAGTCCAAATTCATTTTGAATAGAAAATAATCAATTGACCCAATAACAAAAACATAAAATGAAAAGCTTAACATTCAGTCATTATAGAAATTCAGACAAATTAAGATTGGGACAATGTATCAGCTAAAATACATCATTGAAATACCAATTAAACTTAAAAAAAAGCTGTCTAAAAAAAGTCACGGCTCATGCTTATAAAGTTACATTACTATTCTGTTTGTACACATTCATTTTACTATTAATCCTTCTAAATAAGATTCTTCCTTTTTTTTTTTTTGACTCCTACAAGCTAGACATTTGTCCTTTTTTTTTTTTTTAAAACATTGATAAGTCTTTCTACTAGCAAAGGCAAGATGTTTCAAGGAAACATTCAGTTTATAGTAACTCTGAAGAATATATCATTGTATATGAAGCTTTACTCAAGTGAAGGCACACAACAATCTTGTGACAATGTAATTTTAAATCTTAAAGTGTACAAACAGAAGTGTAAATACCTGCGATGGTACAGCTGATTTTTTTTTTAAAGAGAGAGTTTTATAGAACACATCCAATAATTTATTCCAATTTAATCCATCTCTATAAATGTAAGTAAATACAATACAAACCGAATTTCACTGTACACAGAAATGTTCACAATGAACCTTTAAAACCCTTCTAAACTAGATGTGTCACACCTTTTTAAAAATATGCCAATACAGGATCACAGTTATGACTATAGGTACACACAGAAATAAGAAGTATAGGTGCCATTCAAGGGATGCAGGCACACAGGCAAATTCAAGTTATCTGGTAAAATACAGTGATATGGGGAGCAGCTCCTTTCAGCACTGCTGTTATTTATTAAATGACTGAGATTGTTAAATCAGTTTATGAATATTAAGCAATGTAAAGAACAAAACAAAAAAAATGTATGGTGACATACATCTTGGTGGAAATGAAACATACAAACCAGAAGATCACTATACTTTTATATATATAAATATATATAAAAAAAACAAAACTACAAAAATATCCTCCTTTGTTTGAGACAGTAACACAACAAAATGTTTACAACTTATCTTTTCAAAAACAGCATAAGCTTTCATTTACATGCAGAATGCTAAATTTGCCCTTTAATCAAGTTCTTACGACCTATTTTCTTCTTTATGCCCGGGAATCTTACCTATACAACCCCTCTGAAAAAAGTGAGGTCCCAGCACACAACAAAGTTGAAGGAAGTTGCATATGTAAATCCCACCTGAACTGAGACCGAAATCACAGTCTCACGATAGGATTAAAATTCATTTTAAAATTGTGTTTTGGTAATTACAAAATGCAACCTAATGACATTGGATGTGTTTTCTTGGGGGCGAGGGGAATCTGTACTTGGCACAGAAACTCCACATCTACATACATAACACTCTACATAAACAAAAATTAAAGCTTTATTAACAAAGCATGTCAAGGGTAAAAAAACAAAACAAAACAAAACCACACACCTTAAATTCCAAACTATAAACAGTTTTTAGTATAGCTTGCTCCTTTCCAACAGAAGTAAAGAAACTCTGGAAATGCATCCATGATTCAGCTCAATGATTACTTCCTATTAACGATAACTATTGGCAAATATCACAAAATCCAATTCAACAAAAGAAACTACATTTACTTTTGTTAAATCTGTATTTTTATGTTCTGATATTTTACAATTAAGAACCACAGTTGCTATTTTTGTATGAAATTCCAGAAATATTTTTACCAAGCCATTTTTGATAACAAAAAGTGGCATTAAGAGATATACACTACTGCCAGCTTTATGTCAGCTGCCACATTTCACCTTCCTGTTCAAGCATTTGATTCACCTTTTCTTGGTCCATTAGTGCTTTATGTGCCCAATAGCATATGAACTCAAGACAACATCCCACTTAACACTGAATAGGCTAGTGTTTGGCATCACATTTTGTTCTCTCCAAGACCCAGGCGCCACAAAAGCCTACTATGAAAAACTGACATTTAATTGATAAAAAATTTATAAATCTATTTTTACTTAGGAATATAGCTTATATGATTTCTAGAAAGTTTTACTTTATTTAACTTCTGTAAATGAGTTTCCATGAATAAGTGCCACATGCAAATCCGGAAACTAAATGTGAAGTTAAGCTTAAGAAATGAAATCAGGCAGACAGGTAAGTCTGCTAAATTTAAATTTTAATGTAAATTTAGCGGGCAATGCTCCTAAAAACAGAAAAGACTACCCCAGTGAAAGCACAAGGCAGGCTTTTATTCCAACTCTCAAATACAAGGAATCATGAACAGTTTAAGTTACTGATCCTCAAAATGGGAATTACGTAATGTGATGAACGTTTCTATGTATTTTAAAGCCCTCAGTAGCATGCTGAAAAAAGCATTATTCAGAGTGCTACTCCGTAGCTATCTAGATATTTAACGCATGCAAGAGACTGCAGAAATATGAAATAAAAGAACGCTTTAGCATGTGAACAACCAGAAAAGAACCAATCCTGGTGTCATATATTTGTTTATTAGCCTTTGGACAACACCTTTACTATCAAATGGAAGGAGGAAATGAAAAAGCAGGGCAGCGGGGGGGCAGAACAACCAACCTTCAGTCTAACTGAATATAATACCTGAATTTGGTTAAAAGATGAAAAAAAGGCAGAAAATATTGAGAGGTCACGTTTCACAAATTAAAGAGCAAAATCTGGCTATATTTCTTGAATTTGAGTAAAACTCACTGAAACTAATAAAAAAAAAAATCTACTTGTGCAAGGACTGCAACAATACATACGTGTATTCCTTACATAGAAATAATCCAGACATTATATATGAAGTGCTAAATACTGCAGTCCTTGCACAGGTTGATTTTTTATTTTAAAATACAAATAAACATACAACCACAAATTTGGTATAATTTTCCAAGATTACAGAGAGAGCGCATTTATGAGTCTGGCTTACTGCTTTTTCAAGAATTGATTTAATCCCCCTTCATAAAAACTGCAACAGTTAATACCACACCACAGAAGACTCGAAAGAAGGCATGCAAACGGCATAAGAAAGAAAATCGCACAAATGCTCCCTCCCTCCCACAACCGGAATTACCTGTTATTACTTACCTAAGTTCATTTCAGATGCTACAAGAAGAAAGTGATTCAGTACATACTGCTGGACCATTTAAACGCAGACATTAACTGTGTAAATAATCCCAAATCTAGAGTAGTTACTTTTAGTAAATCAATAATTGTTAACTTCAAGAACATGAAACAAATGCTCACCTTCTCTAACGATGACGATATTCTCTCTCTCTATCACGTTCTCTGTCACGGTCTCTGTCACGGTCACGATGCCTCTCTCTTTCACGGCTTCTTTCCCGGTAATAGTCATCATGACGATCTCTGCTACGTGATTTGTGGCGTCTACTTTTTTCTCTTGACCTACTGTGGTCCCTCTCCCTGGATCGTTCACGTCTTCTAAAAGAAATTACTTCATTAAATTTTTCTTCAAACTACAAGCCCTCTACATGTCGATTTTGTGATCAAAAAGGATATGAGAGAAATACCTGTTCACTGTGGTGCAGAAATGTTTTGGTATATAACATGAAAGATAGCTGGTATAGAAGGTGGTGGCTAAGAACTCAGTTACAGAGAGTAAGGTGTCATCCACTTCCTAATCTTCAGGGAAAAGTCAGAAAGTACACGGACAGAACGGAGGACAAGAGGGCTGAGATCAGCTGGAGGAATATACCATACCTCAAACGATCACTACAAGGTGGCTGCTAATTTGAGTACTGAAAATTTGTGCCAGCAACAGCTGTCTTTGTGCTTCTAATATTCAAGATCTACTTCAAGATACTACTGCTACATTATCCAAATGAACTAGAAGCTCAGTATTCGGCCTAATTCTGAAAGGGCTGTTACTTAAGTTTTTAAAGGAAATAACAATCTCTGATTTGTACTAGGTAGATGTCCATGAATTTCAGATTTACCTACTTTCAAGTTTTATATTACATGATAAAGGATAACAGGCAAAAATATTTTGCCCAACTTCTTCTCCATCTCACGTGTGTCACTACTGTGGCAAACGTGGAGCAAATTATTTTTAGGCAAAATGAAAATTGGTGCCATACGCTTCAATTTTCAATAGCAAGTTATAATCAAAATTATATATTGAACTGCTTAATTGATAAAGCAAAATTCTATTCTGATTTTTACCTACTGCAATAGTACCATGTAGAAATAATTATTTGTTTAATTAATACTAATTAATTAGTGTTGATACTTATATATTAATTAGTATATAATATAAAACTATTATATAATTAAACTAAAATTAAAACTAAAAGTTAATTAAATTTCATATAATTCATATTAATTTACAGTGTTAAAGTATGATTAAACTAATTACAACTAAAAGTTAAACTTAGGCTGGTCAGATCAGTTTTGAAGAGTAGGCTAATTAAAATATAGATCACTTAGCTTTAGGAAACCAACATTTGGTTCTTTCACACATTTCTTGTGCAACCGAGCACATCACTAAGCTCAAATGACTCTGTGAACCAGTCCTGCCCTACACCTTCCCTTTTAAGAAATAATGGCAGATGGAAGAGGAAAGTTCTACCTGGATCCAGAACCATAAGACTTGGACTCAATCCCATGAAGGCAATCCTGAAGAGAGCTAATGAGTACTTTACAACGATCATCAGCAGATACTTTGGACTGTTTAATTAAGGAAATCGCAGTTACCAAGGTCTCTATAGCACTTCCATAATCCCCTGAAAATGATACAAAGTCATTATTAGAAAATTATGCAAATTAAAACAAAAATGTATCATCTGTAATAATTTTACCATTTAGAGTGTCTTCTCTTCAACAGCCATCCACATCATTTACTGTAGGACCTAACATGAAAGTACTGTCCAGCTCTGCAATCAGAAGGCATTCTCAAAAACTAATTTGAGTGCAATACAAAAATCATCACAGGTTGTGCTTAAATTCAGTCTCACATCTTAATAATTAGAAAAATGTGGCTTCAGGGCTGCAAGTTTCTTAACAGAAAAACTATGAACTCTTTGCAGTGGTGTAGAATAGAAAACATTAAACGAGTTTTACTGACCAGCACTAGCATCTGATACAGCTCTTGAAATGGCACTGCTCGAGATCGCCCTATTTCTATTCATGATTTCTTCAAATTCTGCTTCACTTAGAGGTGTTCTGGCAGCATCCATTTCTCTGCAAGTAATAAAAATACTATTTAAAAAGGTAAGAAAAACTGATGAAGATAGCATTCCAGTTTTAACAATCCAAGTTTGCAACTTTAAGCAAAGTGACAAACAGAAAAGAAAGCAGGATCTGTGTTTGGTTTTTGCTTTGTTAAGGACCATGTTACAGTATAAAATCCTGAAGGCTAAAAGGAAAAGGTAAAAAAACAAACAAACAAAAAACAATTACGATATCTGCTATATAAATAGGCTTTTTCTTGTTCATCCCATTTACTCTGAAGATTCAGCAGCACTTAATACTGTGCTTTACAAACACGTATCATTTTCATAAAATCCTTGAAGGTACGTCAGTAAATATTATCCCAATTGAATTGGGTGTGGAAATGCACATAGATGGGTAATGCGTTTTGAGCAAAATTAAAGATCATTTTTATAACAATATTGGAATTAGAGCTATACGTTCCTGTTTCCCAGATTCCTAACTGAGACCAGAATGCTTTAAGTCAGAAAGAGCAAATTTAGTCTATCATCTTTAAAACATACTATTTTCTGAAAGACACTTCAACATTTTACAACTAATTTTTTTTTTTTTAATGTTTCTGGTCAAGTTCGAGGTACTCTGAATTTATCTCCAAACTGCTCATAGTAAGGAGGAAGCAATAAAGGAGAATCCTTGTACTCTCATTGCACTTTTTTCTTTCATTATTAGCTGCCTATACATGGTTTCCAAAGTAACAGAAGTTAACCTACACAAAAAAAATTCCCCAAAGTTTTGCAGTGTCCTATTAACCAGCCTCTCTGCCATACAGAAAATCTGGAGGAATGTGTTAGAGACAAAAGTTGAGACTGTTAAACTGGCCCACTGCTTGATGATATTTCTATAAGGGTTAGTTCTTCTGGTAGAAAGAAAATGCAGAATCACAAGCAATGCTATCCTCTTAAGTGCAAGAAGTGGAACAAGATCCTATAGCCAGTTTAGCATAAGAGGAAATGTCTAAAAATTCATACCTCCCTGAGTTTTGAGTATTATTTTTCGTGTGCCTCCCATAGAATGGAATATGTATTTTTTCTCTTATGGACATGTTATTTCCAGTGAAACGCCTATGATATATAATTAATGACAATTTAAATAGTTATGGATGATAGTTTTAACATTATTAATGAAAATACTGGACAGCAAGTAAAGCGATACTGTCCTATTCCCACTCCTTCCCTCCCCAGCCATTCTATAAACTGTGGAAAACCTAGATTTTGTCTATCAAAAGAAACTTACCATTTATTCTATTTCAGGCAATTAAGCCAACTGCTTGAGTTTCTACACAGTTTCTGTATTAACATAATATGTACAAATGCTTGGTTTTGTTTTTTCTTTTTAATTGGGATTACATGTAAAAGGAAGCATCAAAGCAAAGTGTCTTCGCAGAAGAAGTTTTATGCAAGAAGTCTCTCATACTAGGAGTAAAATCACAACTGAAAAATCTCCATGTAACTACATAAAGTGTATTTCTTACAATTTATCCCCAAATGTTTTAAAGAATACAAATATAGTGAAAATTAAGAAACAGCAACAAGACAGAGATATTTGAAAGTACAGATGAAGATGTGTTCAAACAAGATCTGAAAAGTCTAACAAGTCAAGTCAGACAACTGAAAATTCTGTCCCAGATCGGACTAACCATAAAAAAGGCTACTGCTATAAACACAGCAAGACTGTACCAAATGAGCAGAAGCAGTCTGATAGAAAAGGCAAACGTCTTAGAGTAAATCCATATCCATGGACTAACTTTGAATTTAATCCATAAAGGTAAAGAGGATCAGCAGATCTCGGTAGTGCGCAGTACTCAACGCATGTACATATTCAAAAGGAAAACTCTAGAGCATTCTAAGATGACAGCTTGCAAAGCAAGATGACAAAGGTACGAATGAGAATTTCAAGTTGAGGCTGAAGCATAACCGCAAGCCACTGCATAAGAAGTGATGAGTAAGTTTGCAGACAGAACACAGAGAATAATGACAACACCAAACATGAACAGTGAAGACAAACAATTCAGAGCCGAAAAGGAAAAATGAGAATGCTAGTGTCGCTTTTCAAGACTTTCTTACTTCTACAAATATGTTTCTGAGATATGTTTCACTAAAAGAAGTGAAAAGGGGAAAATTAGAAGCCTTATGGGATCCCTTCCAGCCTTATTTTCCATTATTTCTAAAGTCTGCATTAAAAAGAAAAGAAAATCAAATGCTTCCTACAAGGAATAAGTCCTGCTGCTATCAAACACATTACACCAAAAGCACTCACCTTCCAGGTGGCCCATAGTCACCTCTGTCATATGGTGGAGGTCGGCCATATGGATCTGTTGGAGGTGGGCCACGGCTGTCTGAAGTAGGTATGCCACTATTGGCAGGTGGGGGGAAGAAAGCTGGATTCACATGTGGTGCAGGCGGTGGGGCACCTGGAGGCGGCCCAGGGAGATGTGGAGGAGGAGCAAGAGTCAGGGGTGGCCCAAGAGGGCCAGGCGGACGAGGGGGAAATGGACCTGGAGGTGGAGGTGGACCCTGCTGAGGTGGTGGTGGACCTGGTGGTGGTCCGTAGCCTGGAACTGGTGGTGGAGGGCCTGGAGGAAGCGGCCCAAGTGGAGGCTGACCAAAAGGCTGTCCTGGAAACAGAACTGGTGGTGGTGGACGGTCACCACGATTAGGAGGTCCAGCTAATGGAGGAGGAAGGACCTGACCAGGAGGTGGAGGGCCTGGTGGACCTGGTGGGCCTGGAGGACCTAAGGGTGGACGTGGGGGAGTTTGTCCAGCTAAAAAAAAGAAAAAAAAAAAAAAAGAAAAGAAAAAAGAGGGAAATAAAAGTCTTATTGAAATGATTAATTCTTTTTGTTTTTTAATCTCACTGAATAACGTGCAACTTGCACAAGGCATACATGGTCCCATTTTAAGGACAGGCAATTTGGTAAATTTTAAACAGTTACTTCACTATCGATATTCCAGAGAGAACACCATTAAATTGAAAACAAATAAACAAATAAACAAAAAAAAAACCCACTCAGTCACCTGCTATTGTTACCAAAAAAACCCAAAGCTTACAAAACTAGAAAAGACTGCACCCTACTAATACTTGCAGCTCGTCTTTCAGATGGGGCAAAAAATAAAATGTATATTAAAAACATGGAAAAAACTGTATTGTAGAAGGTCAGCCAAACGTAGTATCTAAACCTACCTTCAGATTACCTCAATTAGTGGTTTTCCAATTTGACCATTTCCCTGTGAGTGTTAGTAGACAATCTACTGTAGACTGGCCTTTATTAAAAAGACTCGAGCTGAAATGAGAGCTTAACTGCACTGCAAGCCCACTGTATGATTGAGATATGTCTCATACCAGGTCCCCGACTACACACAAACACTTGCTCAAGTTAGCCATATCCTAAGTGCCAGCTAACTGACCAGCCAGTGGGCATGAATCAAAGCTGAATTTCTGATGATGTGCAAACTAGCAATGCACCAAGGAATACCAACTTTATGCTGCTGGACAACTGATCTGCAGCACAGGCATTCTCACCCCGCAGAGTAAGCCAGAAAATCTGAACTGTACTTTCGTAAAGACAAATCTCTTTCCTAACATGATCTGCCTTAATTTTTTTCATGCTTTAAAAAAAAAAAAAAGCATTGATACGATATACAGAATTTCTCTAAAATGTGTTTATATCAAATCTATTTATTCTTCTATTCCAACTCCTTTAGCAATTCAAAATAACCTTTGATGTCAGAAGTGGAACTTTATACTTTGAACAGCAACAAAGAGATATTGGAGACTCCTACACCCCAGTTGTGAACATTTATTACAACATACTAACCAAATCACCTTGATTTTTTAATTCCCCAAATAAGTAGGCTGTAATAACACAAGAAAACAGAAAACAAAACCAAAGCCTCATATATTAATTATTTCACCTGGGAAAGGTGGTGGTGGTCCTCCTGGCCCTGCCGGCCCTGGAAACCTGTCTCCACCTGGAATGGCACCTGGAAAACGGCCTCGCCCTCTGTTACTAGGTGGAAATGCTGCACGTGAGCTTCCTCCTGGTGGACCAGCTTTACCTTCCCCAGACATCTGGCCAGACTGTGTGGCTGCAATGGAAAGCAAAAGTTTAATTATATAATCCAAAATAGGATAAAGCTTTTCAATTTTTGTTCTACAGTTTTATGCAGTGCTAAAGCATGATCTTAAACACCACTTCAATAACAGTACATAAAGATCCTTTGGGCTTACATAGAACTTCATAAAGATGATTCTTAAGTGCTTTACAAAAGAACATTTTTGTGGCTATTTAATAGATAGGCAGGAAAAAAAAAAAGATTGTTACAGGACTAATTCAAGTCTAATAAGCAGAACTCTGCAATTCCAGAACAGTAAACTGACATAAAACTGGTGCTGCCATTGATTCTTTCTTCCTCACATAAACACTCCCACCCTTCCACCAAAACTAATGCTTGTCTGAGCCCCAAAGGTGACAGAAAGCTAACCCGGGGTCGGGGGGGGGGGGGGGTATCAATAATTTCCTCTTAGCTTAACGTGTTAAACCTGCTCACTGTGGGGTCAGAACAGCATGAACATTGCAGCAAGGGAAGAAGCAGAGTCACAAGAACGCCAAGTTGGACTGGCTGAAAACATCACGCAATTTCACTCTTAAGCTTCCGATTCAAGCTCAGTTCACTAAGGATTCCTAGAAGCTGCTCTGAAAAAAGGCTTAATAAACGAGTAACTGATGCTCCACATAACTCTAATTGTCTCTGTAGAAAGCATTTAAATTTTTCCACACCTAAGGAACTTGTTCTGTAAGCACCAGAGCAGAACTAACTTTGCACAGAGGTACGTCTAATAGTTTTCTGACTTTGGTATCCAAGATGGTTGCTTGAGCGGCAACTCAAGCTGTCTCCTCATTTAAGATATATTTAAGGCCTGCCTCTGATGGGGAATCCCTTGCGGCACAAAGGATATTGAGACAGGTTAACAAACACAAAGACTGATTAGCAGGGTCCACAGCTGATGGCACACATCGACTGTAAAGCTGAAAGTTACTTCTGGGGAAAAATAAAAATGGAGGGGGAGAAAGAAAGAGACAGACAGAGGAGCAAGAAGAAAAATCTCTTCCCAGGGGCCAACTGGGAGAAGTAGTAACAGGATCCCCAGACAAGCAGCCTCCCTGGGCGCCCTCTCCAGTGCAGCAGGTGGTGCCCTCCACCCCCCAAAATACTTTCCATATAGTAACTACATATTTTTCATCCAAACCTGCTGCCCTGGCAGCAGTCACTTCCCATGAGAACCTGCCTTAACAACAGCAGGGGAGTTGGCAGGGGGCAGGCTGTGAGAATAACAGCCTGAGAAGAAGGGAATATACTGCCACCGAGGCTGGGGGAGACACTGCCAGGGCACAGGGCTGCCAGGGCAAGGCAGGCCACAGCACTGCAAACGGACAGCCGCTGCCAATACAGAAGTTTAGGGTGCCTAAGGCACTGCGCAACGCTGGTGTCTAACAAGGTGCGAGCCTGCGCGACATCTTCTCAACAGCAGAGTCCTGTAAGACCTCTTCACTTGTATTCTATATTCACCGAAGCTCAGCTGTTATGAGAGCGCTTCCCTTTGGTCAAATCTGATTGGAAAATCAGTGCTTTCAAGAGCTCGTTATAGCAACAGCCAGCAGAGACAAACTTTATGTGATTCTCACCTCAAGAGCATACCAAGCTAAACAAGTCTGAAACTACACAGAAAAGGTAGTAACATGGAAGAGCCAGCCTAACTTATTATTTAGTAGTCGCTTAAGAAATATAAGTAAATTTCAGAATACTTTAGGCAAATTTACTGGGCCAAATTCTAGCCCCCGCTGCGTATACGCTATACTACCTCTAATGAGAAAGCAGGGGCAACAAGCTCACTATTTGAGGATTCCTAACACAGCCAGGCCAACAACCCCAACGAACATTACTCTCCTTTTTCCATAGTACCTGAGCCCTCTGCACTGAGGGGGGAAAAAGTGTTTTGCTAACACATGGCAACATTCCAGCATCCCCGTACTACCAAATTGCATCAGGTGAGACTGTCAGTCCTTGCTTTAACACAACCCAAGGCCAGGAGCTATTTGGACTGGGAAACGCAAGACAAAGTGCTGTAGGACAGCACAACACAAAATCTCTCTTCCCTGTCCTGTCCTAAGGACAGCTTAGATATCAGAATTTAATCCAATTTGTCTACAAATGTTTAATTTCTAAATGCTTTTATATTTTTAAAATTAAATCCATAAAAAGAAATTGAAAAAGCTTCTCCATCTTTAAGACAAAAGTTTATGAAGCTGCAGTCTTCTTCCAGAGCATATTCTCTCCTGTTCAAACAAGACCTTCAGTATATTGGGGTCTTTTGTTTGTTTCCTTGTTTTATTTTAAGAGGATCATCTTTAAACAAAACCACAACTTCATTCACCTGATCAAGTATTTTATAGCTATTTTAAACCGTGTACAAATTATCAGATACTGAGACCAAAACTGCTTTTGGAATAAACTTCCATTTTCACACAACAGAACAGGAAAAAGGCTTACTTTTCCTTGACTGCATTTCAAACTGACTCAGAAACTGTTTATTACACGGAGTTACAACAGGATTCTGCCCATGCAATTCTCTTTTAGGCAACAAATCCATCAGTTTTTTGGAGGATGCTTCAGATCCCACACCCACAAGGGCAAACCTGAAAGAAAGAGAAAAAAAGTTGCCTCCATTTTTCCTTTCCCTGGATATCCTCATGCCCCATGAAAAACATACACAGTAAGCAAAAGAACATTTGAAAACTAAATACAGGAACTGCCTCACATATCTCAGCCCAGTTTCAAAGACATATAACTCATTCCAAGACATTACAAAAAAATGCAAGTGTAACTACAAGATAATCAAAATGTATCCCACAAAGGCAGCTTTGTGGTACCATATGAATAGACTAAATATAAATACATAACACTGAGTTATTTTCAGGCATTCACCGTGTTAAATCTCATTACTACTAAGAAGAGACACAGGCACTGTCATGGCAAGATTAGGTTGTCAGTGAAAAAAAGGGCTCAAGCACTTACTTTCAAAAGTTAATAGAAAAATCAGGCATTTAGGAAAGATTTAATAATGGAGAGGGGAGGGGAAGAGAACAGGATCTACATTACGAGGGACTACAAATATCGCCAACACACTAACTAAAATTTAGGGATACAACCTTAATAAGGATTGCCAATAAAATTTAACTCACAAAATAATAAAACACGTAATACTGTCATAAAAATTTACACCTGGAATTTAAATCATTACTCTGAAATGAAATACCCAATCATTGTTGCGGATATTAACAAAGGCAATCAGTTCATGTACCATCAGTTGCGAAAAATGACAACTCTTTCGCCATTTCCACCCTCCCAATCTTCAGTCCACTCACACAGAAAACAAATTGCAAGTTCTTACCCTTTAGACTGGCCATTAGCACGATTTTCAAAAAATTTTATCTCCAAAATATCATTTACTCCCAATGAATGAACTGCTTCTGTTAAGTCTTCATCTGTCGTCCACTGAAAAATATATTTTAATAACCAACTATGAAAACTTATCTAAAACACTAAAAGTCCTTGAAAAGAGCAAACAAGTCTTCCATGCTAAAACTGTTACTTTTTATTTTGTTGTGAAAGTGATGAACAGGAATACTTTTCTGAGGTTATCAATATTTTCTGATTTTTGGAGATTAGTCATTTATATTTTACAATTATCAGAAAATTCAGTTTTAAAATATACATGCTTACCATACACTATATTGCATCAGCCCTTCTACACAGTATACCAGCTACAGTTCACCAAATACCATTTGTATTTGAATAACTTTTGTTTTCTGAAAGTACACATTTTCAAGAGCGCTAGACAAACGGGGTTATTTCAATAGCTGTTATGTCCTTCCAGATTCAATCAGTTTTTTTCTCCTGCTGATTCTCTTATTTTCAAAATTTCAATGTTAAACATCGTATTAACCAGGTGCTCTTTATAAGAGCTCTGATTAGCGAGGTTCTAGTGAACTACGTATTACTTACACAAAAGTAGCAATATTTACAGACAAAGGAAAGGAAACTAGTACAGAAAATATGGTTAATAACACTGCTTCAGCAGCCATGGCTATATATAGCCTCCACTTAACTAAACCCATTTGGAGTGACTTCCTATTAGTTAATGCATAATGCTTAATAATTTCACTCATATCCAAAGATGGTTTTTTTCATACTTCTGTAACTCCATAATCCCCTTAAATTTCATGATGGAAAGTGCAAAGCAGGCTTTCAAGAATCTGAACTACTTCTCTGATCTCCCTTATATCAATGCTTCCTTTAAAAATTCAACAAATTACTTTGCCGAGATCTAACTGCTAAGAAAAAAATCTCAATGGCACTACTCAAGTAGGTAAGCACACTTTTTGCAGACAGCTTCGTTTGAGAAGCCATATAATCAGTATTAGATACAAACTGCTGCACACTGGCCTAACTAATCACGATAGCTGGCACGGAGGAGTTCAGCTAACCCATGTGCATTTTACTCATTCCATTCATATAAACATATTTTAGAGCAGAACAACTGTTAAGTCAATTACCCTTCACTTACCTATTAAGTCCTGGAATTAGGATACTGTAGTAATTAATGAAAAACACCTAAAAATCCACGAAGCATTCTTTTGCTAGTTTAGCACTAGTAAACTTTTCAACAGAGGGGAAAAACCTTGAATGAGAATTTTGCATGCATGGCCTTAGAAGAATTAGATTTCAGGTAAATGGTTAATATAAACGCTAGTTAATCAAGCTACTGATTAGCTACTTGCATTTTCTTTTCTTAACTACAACTGATTTTAAAATGATTTAATGCAAACAAATGTCATTGTCTTAAGGAAAACTGCAGTTCAGTGAGTTATCCAAAACCCTGAAACAACAGTTTTGTTGCAAGAGTCACTGCCCTAGAAAAAGGGAATTGGAAAAAGGCCTTGGAAAAAGGATGAAAAGTAATTCCAATAAAATCCTAACGAAATTTACAGTTCCCTTTTAAACTAACAGCTTCAGCACAGGATTACTCAAAAATGGATTAGTTTGGTAGCGTTAAAGTATCTACAGGCATAAAGTATTTTATAGTTTTAAGTTTGTTGTCCTCTTTTAGTCAAGTCTCCGCAAACCTTAAGAAGGTGGTAGTAAAAATATCTCTTCATAATAAAATAGGAGAGAAAACTTTAAAGTTTGTATTTACTGAAGATCCCCTCCATTTTTTAGACCTCAAGACAGCTCTGGACAGGCTAACAAACTTGCAGGAAAAAAAATCTGCTTTGCTGTACTCTTAGTATTTCATATAATACTTTTTTTTTTAAACAAAAATATTTACAAAGAATTATGCTCCTAATTTTAGAACCCCTGGCTACAACTAAATAGTAGCAAGATACTTACCCAAGTAAGATTTCCAATGTACAAGGCAATTCTCTTTCCAGTATATGTATAGACAACATTTGGTGCAGCTCCTTTACCTACATCATCTCCAACTGATGGTGGGAGAGAATCCATGTAGTCACGATCTTCTGGGGCATCTCCATTATTTGCAGATGGAGAAATTACATCATCGTACAAATCAATCTGATCATGCCCACCGTATTCAGCTTCCTAAAATACAAAAGACAGACCTAGATTATATTTAACATTAGGCACTTGTAAAATTCATCCTAAAAAAATTACTCTGCCAACTGTCACATTCCACAGGCATGGTAAGTTTGATGTGACACCTACACAACATCCCTGCTGAAAAGCTAAGCTTCAATTTCTTCTACATCAGCGTGTAAAATTCTTACGACTTCTGTTATATTCTAAATAGGCAGGAAAAAAAAAGACAGACAGCAAAAAATACCTCCCACCCCTGTTTTGCAATGTGATACTTTTGCCCTTGTAATACAAACAGAAATCCAAAAGAAAACAAGCCTTACTCCCAAAATTCTAGACGTTAGCAAGTATGAACAACGTGCAAAACAATAGGCTAACATCAACTCTAAAAGTAAGTATTTTTTCCATCAAAAAATTTGGTAGAGAGAACAGACTGAGCTTCCAGAAGAGCCCTAACAATAGACACAACATTCTACACTTCAAACTTCTACTGCATTCCTAATCTGATTTTTCACCTCCTCATTCACAGAGGGGCCAGAAAGGGACAGAACTCCACAGCGTTCCATTACACTTAATAAACCCAAAGGTTTGTGCGTATTAAACATACTTATTTACTGATGGGCTACAGCAGGACTATTCTACAGTACCACAGGTTGCATCAAGGCTGCCTCTGAACATTTTGGTTCAGAAAAGTATCGTGGGGGTTTGGAGTGAATCATTCCCTTTTCCCTTGGGTTGTTTCAGTTTACAGCACAGATCCGGCCAAGTGAACTACATTTCTTTCAGAGGAAATGTAAGTGAGAGTTTCTTTTCAGCAGCTCTGCTCCATTTGCTCAATAACTGCATTTGCTAAATGGGAAGAGAAGGGTCCAGATCAATCATCAGTCCTTCAGATAGCTTTCAATCGCAGGTGTGGTGAGAATATTTGGTCTAAAAGATCAGACTAAATTTAGTCTGATGTAGAACATCCAAACATTTTTTCAGATAGATGTAGGGGCCTGAGCACCAACTGCCTCAACCTGCCGATCTGCTACTACCAAGCCCTGTTACTTTTTATTAGTGACAGCTGTACTGCCATCACAAAAAACAGAAAGAAAATTAAGAGAAGAGTAAAACATGTTGACTGTAAATTATAATGTCTTTAACAAAAATATAGAAAACATTTTTAAAAACAGAGCAACCTTAATGAGTGGGATCACTTAATTCCAAGTACGAACATGCTGCATCTTCACATCGAGGACCTACTTTGAAAACAAAGATTTCTCTTGATACTTGCCATTTTTCATCTTAAACCGTCATTCACCCTAGTCAATAGTGATCAGTTCCACAATGGGATGTCATTACCATGTTTCACTATCTAATTTGCATGACGGAGAAGCACCACCTGAATTTCTATGGACAAGACATTAGTAACTTCTTCTCAATGAGTAACAGTGGTAAAGCTTAAGAGAGGATTTCAGGGTACCCTCAAAGCTTCTATACTGACTTTCATGTGTTGGTTTGCCACATGCAAAAGTTGGACTTCAAAAGCCTGCAGAGGGTTCCTGGAGTCTTCTACCCTGACCCAGGGGAGAAACAGCCTTACCAGGGACTTGAGATACCTCAGTGCGTGCTGTCTTGTGAATTTTTCATCTAGAAACCCGCACAGACATCCTGGATGGAATAGTTCAAGATATCACATACGGTGACTAGAGAGAATCAGCTTGGATTCCACAGAAAACAGGTTGCAAAGCTAGCAGTCCTGGTTGAACATCCAATTCATGCACAACCATCATCAGAGGATCAGCTCACTTAAAATATGAAAACATTCCTCATTAGCAACTGCTACTCATAGGGAAAGGCTATCAATACAATAAGCAAAACCAGATAAGAAGTTTTGGCATTGTCAATCAAGCAGATTTGATCCCCAGGAAATTGCACAGTCCCAATAAACTCTGAGGTTTAACAGGAAATTTATCTCTTTTTAAGGAAGCTTATATCACTGAATTAAATAAGGATTGCATGTTTTCATGTAGTCTGTTCAGTTTTCTGTTCTCAGTTGGATTCCCTCCACCACCATAGTTAATGAAAGCAGGTTCAAAGAACTGCCCGGGACAGGCTGAAACATGACATCTTACAGTAAGATTGTGGATGATGTCACAAGGCAATTAAGGAAATCCTCTGTTAAACGTGCAGTAATTGCACAGTCATTTGTGTGTGTGGATGATGACTTCAGGGGATTAGAATTTAGCCTTTAGTCTTTTAGTCTCAGATCCAAACGGGCAGCCATCAGTCTTACCTCTCTCTCTCTGTTTGACAAGGCTGAAGTCAGCACTACCAAAATACCAACCAGAGTAGATACCTCTGGTACACAGCTCTTCTGGACTTCCTTACTCTCAAGGAACTCCTCTGAAATAGATAAAATTTCTACTACCAGAGGCTTTCAGATCACCATTGAGGGAGAGAACTAACAGGACTGTGCAGTTTCCGTATGATTTTTTCAGAGACCAAAGTGCCTGACAGCATCAACGTCTTCATTTAAATCAATAAAAACAATGCAGAAACCCTAACATTGCTCACTATAATTTTTTCTTACATCGTGCTGGTTTTGCAGCCAGCATGAAACTCAGTCAGTCACCACTCTGTCAACAAGGTGCGTGGTTAGATGATTAAGAGTGATCCGAGTCAGCAACTGCAAGCATGGATGAAAGAGGGATGTCTCAATGGCTGTTGCACAAGATGCAACCACCTTTCCTCCTTCATAGGCATATAATGGAAACTTTCCTAAACATACCCTCCTTTCCTAGATTTAGATGAATAAGGAAAAGAATATAGGAAGCATAACTTCTCTATTTCTTAATCATTTCAACAAATGTTTTATTCATACCAGGAATTATTTTTGACCCCTGTTGACTTCCTTAGTTAAGAGGAGACCATCAAGCATGAAGAGAAATTATTTCTGCTCAAATGTACTTGCTTACAGATATACATGCCAGGAAGCAGAGTTAGCATCATTATTCTGACTCCTTCTATTCACAAATCAGAGTAGCAATACATCCCCATAGCCCATGCTTCCAACAGACTACTGCTCAAAATACTTAGATCATTTGCTCGGGAAAATCAGGACTGAAATTCCATGTTCAAAGCCGTTCAATGCTGTTCAGTGGGATTGGGTGAAAAACCCGGGCGCTGAAATGATCTGTTCTCAAAGACTCGTGCCAGGCTAGCCACTACACTTCTGTCAGCCCTTCCTCCATATTTTGCATTTTCATTACTATCTGCAGCCTGCTACAACATTCCAGTTTGAACGCCATAAACACATGGCAGTGTTTACAAAATGTCTGCTCAGTGCGTGCATCAAGTTCCGCCCTTCTCCTTCACCACGGAGATTACACCTCATGAGAAACTGTCAACCTGCCCATAGAAGATCTGGTACATACTAGTTTCATGACTGCGTACAGCAGGGCCACAGCATCCCCGGTTCCTAAGTCCTTTAATCCCTTGCACGCTCCCCTTTAACAGGCATCTGGTATGTGAGTAAATGTCTTCTCACCTGTGATCACAGCATTCATGTCACCTTTGTGCAGAGGTCCTTTGGGGGGGGGGGGGGGAGAAGGGGGGGAAACATGGAAAGGGGACAGGACCATTCAAGTGAACATTGGGGCACCCACAATTTAGGCCTACGTGCAATATCATGGCTACATCCAGAAGGGACAAATAAGAAGTGCATTATTTCTGTTTGAAACTCAGCACCCATGCTCATCGGAGTTGCAATGAAGAACTGGTCTGCTTCTTTACAAGGACTGTTTTGGAATCTATTTTGTAAAATGTCTATAAACTATACATATCTGAGATGTGCTCTTTTTCCTCTCAACTCTGTTCGACTGAGAGTCGACCACTAAACTATATCCCCCAGAAGCATTACAAAATAACAGTGGTATAAATTAAATGTCACGAGGGACAAAACTTACTACTACTGTTTTTGAAAAAACATTGATAAAAAGCAAATTGTCTGTTTTCTCCATTATTTTCTTCCCTTCAGGTCATAACATACGTGGTCACAAACTCTAAATACATGCTAGCAGCTTCGCTTTAAATAAAGTCTGTAGGTCCTGACAAATCACAAGTTAAAGAGAGAGGTATGCCCCCCCAAAAAAAAAAAAGAAAGAAAGAAAAATAAAAGGAAAGAGAAGACACCAACCTTCTGGTTTTGATTAGCTTTCGGAACATAAACTTTAACAAAACAGAAGGCCTTTGATGTTTCTAAGATAACACATTCCCTGTAGCAGAAATATCCAAAATGGCAGACAAGTCTGCCAGCCTGTAAGATTCACATTTACTTCACAGGCCCAAACGTTCTCAGCGTTACAACCGGCATACTACTAAGCTCTAAGCAATATGACCACTTGTCCAGTACAGCAGCTAAAATTTCCAAGTAGTCAGAAGCTTGAGTTAAATAATGGTAGCATTGCTACCGGCATTATAGCAAAACTAAGAGCCTTCAGCTGAGATAGTCCCAAGTTTTCTCTGTACTATGATATTTGCAAACACACAGAGGTAATCTCCACCCCAAGCCCCTTTCAGGGGACCAACACAACTGACCCAAACTAGCTATCCACATGCAGTCAGGTACTGTGTATACTTTTAAAATAAATGCAAGCCTGCCCGCATACGCTTTTTACAACTGAGACAGTACTGCCCTTGAGTATAAATTAATCCGATCAAACATGTCTGTCTCCTCCAGTAATGAGGCAAGTGACTTCTCGATTTAAAGGCAATCTGTTTTACATGACCCTTAAATGTTGACTTTTATTATTTATTACACAAAAGAAAAAAATATTTATTTTCTCTTTGTTCTAGACAAGAAGCCAAGAGAGCGACAGATGTTCCTAAGAATCTGAAGCCACAGAGGTTGCCAGATAATTAGCCTTTTAGCTGCTTACTTCCTCTAAATCACTTTTATTATCCAGCTACAAAATACAAAGTCAAACTCTTTAATTTCTAATGTGTTAGTACTTAAATATCAAACTAGCACTCTATAGGCATGTTTAGACATATCCGCAATGCAATTATGCAAGTACACTCACTAGAGTATTAATAACACAACTGTTTTTTCCACATCATAAAAATAACAAGAGAACCTCCTGATCAAGGTGAGGATATGAAACAGTAGCTCTCTCTCTCTCTAATTTATGT